TTCTTTTAAAGCTGTTTGGACGCATTCTTGCTATTCTTTTTCTTTGTCGCTATTGTAGTGCCTATTTGGGATTTTTTGGTTTGGTTTGGAAGGTTTTTGTTAACTGTTTGGCTATATGATATTTTTGTTTGTGGCTATTCATCTATTACTGTGTCAATAGAGCGGGTTTTGTCATTTTCTTCACTATTTAGGGTGATCATATTCTGGTCTATTTCCATATTAGGCAAGTTGTCTGTTGGTTGGTTGAACTCGGGATCTTGTTCTATCAGGGCCAGGTTGTTTATTTCTTTATGTTGTTTTGTTGTGAGTGGTACCGTATCGGGCATGGTTGTGTTTTGTGTCAGGGTTAGCTCATTTTGTTTATTCATGGGAAAGTTGTATGCTGAAGTTTGTGCTAGATCCTGGGTCAGGTTTGTTGTTGTTTTGAGTGGTGACGTCATTCCTGTTAGAATCGGGGTAAGCTAGAATCTGCCAATTCCCCAGAATTTTTTTTCAAAATATTGTTATCCTTAGTGGATAAAGTGAGGGTGGTGTTATTGTCAGCAGTTTATGCTTTCTTTTCTTGTCCCATTCATCCATCAGATTGTAGTGCTCTGTGTTGATATAGATATGGTATGTTTTTTTTCTTTGGGGGCCTGTTGTATCCTTTTTTTTGTTTTGGTTGTTATTTTTATCTATTGCCGACGTAGTCGGCAACAAGGTTAGAAAGGAGACTGGAAGTTCAAAGGCTGTCTCTCTATTCTGTTTAATGTTGGTGTACTTTGTCTACTGTTTGTATAGTTGTTAAACTGATAGTTATATAGTTACTGTGAGGTCTTTTACTCTTTTACCGTGTTTTGTTTTTATTGTTTACTTATGGAAATAGGATCTACGGGAAAGAGTTTTATATAGAAATAATTTTATTAATTCTATTTAATCATCTTTCTATATAATTACCAAAAAGTACTAGATAAATTGGGTGATTATATAGGAAAATGATTGTATTATTATTATTTTTAAAATATTTGAAAATGTATATATTTATATATTTATATATTTGTATACTTAATTACTTTAGCATATTGATTAATTAATATTTAATTAATATGCTAAAGTAATCAAGTATATAAATATATGAGTATACTAAAAAAAAATTATTTGCTATTTTCAATTATTTTAAAATTAAAACAATACATGTAATACAGTCAAACCTCTCTATAATCACATCCTTGGTTTTAAGAATTTGGTACTTATAGAGAGTTTGTGCTTATATAGAGGTTAATTTTATAAGTACTATATAAGTTGGTTTTAAAATTTTATGTGATTATAAGCAAATATAACTATAGAGAAGGTGACTATAGAGAGGTTTAACTATACTATTACTATTAAACTATTGTCTTAATATTTAAAATATTATTCAGAACTTTATATAGAGTTAATCAATCTTTTAACTAATATCTAAACTATCATCATACTAACTATCATTATACTAATTAATTAACATAAAATTATTGTATTAATTATTTATCTAAAATAGACAGACTTTATTTATCTAAGTCTATCGATTATATTTGAATAATATTATTTTTAGTGATAATTACCAAATTGTAGTATTTAATATGTCAAGTTTTTTAATTTGAGTTATATGATAATTTGTCTATTAAGTTGTTAGTATTTAATATATCAAATTTTTTAAATTTTAATATTTGATATATAGACTTCTTTTTAATTTACCCATATATTGGTTGTTAAATTGTAGTATTTAATATATTAAATTTTTTAATTTTTATCTAATTGTCAAAGTATAATATTAAATTTTTTAATTTTTATCTAATTTGTTAATTTTGAAATTGTTAAATTTTAATATTTGATATAAGAAAGATGGGGTATTGTGAACAGGTTAAAGTTTTTATTAATAAAATTTTTTAATAAATATATAGATTTTTATACAATTATTATTATTTGAACTATGCTTTATAAAAAATAAAATACTGTAAAAAAATCTTTATATCATATATATTTTTATATATAAATAATTAATGGGAACATCTATTTCCACCATGAAAATTTGATATTTCCACCATGCTTTTTACATGAGTTTCAGCTATATAAGCATGATTCTATAGTGGTTCTCTAAAATGTATATTAGATATAAATTAAGAAATTATGTCCATAATTTATCACAACTAAAGTTGACACCCGACTAAAGTTGGAACTTTAAGTGCCTGAAGTTGCATCTAACTAAAATTAGCTCCTGAAATTAGATCATCCTGCATACTAGCTAATGATTTTAGACAGGTGCCAACTTTAGGTACCTGAAATTTCAATTTCAGGCAGATGCTAACTTCAGGCACGACAATAATATGCACATCATGTTTATGTAGCTGAAGTCATATGGAAAGTATGGCAGCATGGTGGAAATAGCAAATATCCATGGTTGAAATAGGTGTTCTCTAATTAATATACAAATAGAATATAAAGACTAAATTTTAAAGAGGAGGGGTATTGTGGTCACTTATTTGACAGTGAATAACTTTTGATCTACTGGTCCATTTTGGATGATTTTATCACCAAAATGACCGTCTCAAAGAGACAATTCTAACAAGCACAAAATCGTTAAAATCCAATCACGCGATCCTGAGATCATTAAAGATTTATATATAAAAATTGGCAGATTTACTAATATAATTTTATGAAATAAGATAAATCAATATCGATCTCAGTACCCCGTGATTGGATTTTAACGATTTAATGCTTGTTATGATTGTCTTATTGAGACGGTCATTTTGGTGGTAAAATCATCCAAAACGGACCAGTGGATCAAAAGTTATTAACTGTTAAAGATTCAATGTATATTTAATAATTAATTCAAATATGCACAAAAATTTATATTTTGCATAAATGATGATATCTTGTGATCTAGTAATCCGAATTGGATGATTTTTATACCATTCAATTCGTCTCGATGAGACGAATCGAATGGTATAAAATTCACCCAATTTCGATCACTAGATCACGAGATATGCCACTTGTCCACAATACCCCCTGTCCACATCACCCAAAAAAAATTTCGAAAATCAAGTGATATTGTGATTAGGATCGTGATAATGGTATTTAGTAAAAACATTAATTGATTTAGTAAGTGATTTTTTTTTTTCAATCCTTCAAAATGAAAAGCGATCGACAAACCAATGATTCTTTTAAAAGCATAAAATCCAATAAACATAATATTCTAAAAAATATACATTGATTGCAGTAACCAAATTTCCACTAATAATAGACGAAAAAAAATGAAAATCGAAATAAAATTATAAAAACTAATCAAGAAAATGCAATTGCACCAGAAAATCTTGTAGATTTTATTTTAATGCTCTTCTGGAAGACCATACAATAACTTTGATTATTTATTTGAGCAAAAAGTTTTTATAATTCTGAATTCAGGACGCAACAAAAAAAAGTTATTGAAAAAAAATAATGAATCCAAATGGTAACAAATGGTTCGATAGTATTAATAAAAACTTTGAACTATTGAATAAATTGGAGAAGGATTATAATCATTTAAAAGGCAATGGAATATTCTAAATACTTAGAAAAACCGTAATCATAATACTTCTGGTTGTATAAAATATTACGTTTATTGAGTTTATTCGAAATAAAAAAAAAAAAAGATTAATTTATTGCTTATCGTTATTATTTTGTTAGTCTATAAATTTTTTTGGCTGTATTTTTTATCTAAGTTACATGAATTTTTGGTGCTTGATATGCTTGTCAAGTGATGTCTGAAACTTTTTTGGTGGCGATTTTACTCCGGTCGAAAATGGTTGTCGGGAAAAGAGACCCAATACACAGGGTATAACTGATTTATACACTGCGATCTTGATATAGTGCCAGGGCATAATATAAAATAGTACGCAAGTACAAATCTACTATACTTGGTAATATTTACTTAAAAAAAAAATTTTTAATTCATTATACGTACTGTAATAAAACTTTAACTAGATAGTAAATGGATAATAATTGTCATACAGTTGTAACACGTCGCATATTAATGTACGTAATGTACATACGTACGTATTTATTCGATTTATTCGCGTGAAAGCTTCACTTAATTTTGACATTATATAATACAAATTATTTTAGAAATCAGATAATGATAATTGACATTTCCTATATTACACCATAGAAAAAATTATTTTTTTGATACATAAAAAGCTTGGCTAGATTTTCCGCACCATTAATTAATTAGTCGATTAGTATGAAAACTATATCACTCCAATCAATCACACCCCATACAAATATTTGAATAATTTATTACAAAAAAAAACAAACAAAATATATTAAGCAGGGCGTTTCATATAAAGGACGTGCCGAATATATAAAAATTCGAACATATTAAAAGATTCACCACATTATAACTAAGAATATCGTTATTCCAAGTGCAAACATTCTTACATTCCCTTTTTCGGATTGCAGTTTTTCTGCTCCAGCACCGTAAGGTAACTGTGTTGGTACTTGCGGCGAAGGCGCAGGTATAATGACTTGGTCCGTAGGTTGTGAAGGATTTTTAGGAGCAACTACGGTTTGTGGTCTATTTGCAGGAGGTGTTGGGGCCTTAGCTGAAGTTGGTGGTGTAGCTGGACTTGAAGAACTTGGAACAGCTTGCGAAAGTTGTGTTGCAGACTGAGATGCTGCTGGTGCTGCTGTTGCTGCTGTTGGTGATCCTGCTGGTGCTTTAGCTGAGGGTGGTTGTGCTGGTGCTGGTGCTGTAGCTTGAGGTGGTTGTGCTGGTGCTGTAGCTGGGGGCGGCTGTGCTGGAGCTGTAGCTTGGGGTGGTCGTGCTGTAGCTTGACGTCTTATTAATTTGTTATTGGATAAATTATAATCTACTTTTGCGTTATTATCTAAACTATGTATAAGAGATATTAAAAATGAAATATATATTAAATAAACCATAAAATTATGCATCTTTTATATCTTAATTGTATATTTGAATTTCTAAATTATTATATTTGGATTTTTGAAGTTTATAAAGGTTTAATAATATGAAAAAAAACTTCTGGATATTACCCAGGTTTATATATATATTTAAAGTTTAATTAATGCACGCACGTTTATTCCTTAAACACGTACGTACGTACGTCCATACACACACGGATGTGATACATGGGCGTAATATTGTAATGAATTGTGTTCAGCAAACATGTTACATAATTTCATTAAATGTGCTGCATAAGACTTAACACAAACAAGAACTGTTAATTACCGTTTTACCTTAATTCGCGTTAGAATCTAAACAAATGTAATTATTTGACTTTTCAGGAACTATTGCTATATGAAAATTTTCTTCTCAGCTGACAATAAAGCTATACGCACATGTAAAGGTCTGACTCGATGAATAGTACAGTATATTCGAATATTTATTGAATATTCAGATATAAAATTATTTACCAAATAATTTAATGAATATTCTATGAATATATTATTTGATTGCCAATTAAATCAAATATTAATATATTACCGTATTTTCCCAACATGTATACCCCGTGGGCTATACCCTGTAGCAATTTATAGTGCCAAATTTTGATTTATACCCGGGTATATAAGTATGGAAGAATCATACTTATGTACCAGGGCATATAATAGTAAACATATCAAAAACATAGAAGTACTCGTACAGTATACCCCCCTACACACGTACCCCGGGTACTAAAATGTGCTAGGGAAATACCCCGGGTGCACATGTTGGGAAAATATGGTATATATAATTTTGTATTTTAATTGATTAATAATACTAAAAATAAATAAATAAAACAAAATTTTATTAGCTAAAAATAAATTATATAATTTATTTATTTAAATTATATATTGTTATATATTTAAAATTAATAATTAATTTAATTTTATAATATATATTGTATTATTTGAAAGATGAATCTAATTGTATCAATATGCTATACATTTACTGCTGGCTCTCTCAAAACCGATATGCACATAGTGGACAGGTTCTGTATTGATTTGGAAGATTATTAAATTTGAAAATATCACATGTTCATATAGTTAAAATTGGTAACAATTAGATAACACGCCTGAAATGCAATTACGAAATTTAATAAAGTTCATTGATATTAGGGTTAGTATTTATATTAGAGTTAGATATTAGCAAATTATATAGCAAAATCATTTAAAAAATTTTTGTTAAAGTATTAAAGAATAGATTATTTTTGTGCACTTAATGTTAGCACTTGTTTATGGGTATTTTTTTTTCAGACTTCTATCTGAAATTATACATTTAATGTGAACCCTCATAACTTGATCAATTTTTTAATATACAGCGCAAACAATTACTGCTATCAGACACTTTTAGAATTATTAATAAATACGCATCTGCACATACTAGTACATGATGAAAAGTTTATTTAATAAATTAAATCATTAATCCCAACTGCTTTCGTCAAATCCTGTTAAAAAAAAAAAAATTAGGTGATAAAAATAAAAACTTTAAATATAAAAATATTTAACATACCACTAGTAATAAAAGATTCATCTAAATTTCCAAGAGTTTTCATATCTTCTTCTTCAATCTCAAAATCATACACTTTGGTATTATCAATTATACGATCTTTATTCATGCTTTTTGGTAATACAACAAAATTATTTTGAAGGCCCTATTTAAATTTAACATGTGTTAATAACAACATTCTTCTAAGAATTTTACAAATATAAAATCAAGACACACCCAACGAATAAGAATATGAGCAGCAGTTTTGTTATATTTCTTAGCAATGCCAACGAGAGTAGGATCGTTAAATTTTTTTCCTCTTGTTAGTGGAGAAAATGCTTGAATGATAATATTATGTTCAGCACAATATGATACAATGTCTTTTCTAGTATGCCAAGGATGAACCTAAATATTGAAATATTTTTTTAGAAAGAAAAACCAATATTATGAATAATGATAAAAGATTTACCTCAATTTGATTAACGGCGGGTATAATTTCAGGATCAGTATCCATCAGCTCCTTTAAATGGTTTACACGATAATTTGAGACCCCAATACTTCTAACCTTTTCTCGCCTAACTAATTCTTGTAAGGCCTTATAACTTTCAATACGTTTTTGAGCACCAGGTTTGGGGGTATGTATTAACACCAAGTCGAGATAAGATGTTTGAAAGCTCGATAAAGAAGTTTCGACGGCTTTAAGAGTTGATTCATAACCTTGATCTGTAATATTGCAGTAAATTGTCATAGACAAGATAACTTACATGTTCACACAAAACCAGGTTTAATACACACCCCTACAATAAATTACCGGAAAGATCACTTTTATTATTAAGAATGAAAATTTATACTCTATATAAGGTTTTTAATTTTGTTAATTGGAATTGCCAAATCACACCAGTGGTGTTTAACACCACAGTGCTAATATCTTGGCATCTTAAAAAATCCTATTTTTAGCTTTAATTTTTAGTCTATAACTTCTAATTTTTAGCTCTAATCTTAAATATTGATAACAAAATTATAATAAAAAATTATGTGTTGTTGAGCACCATTGGTGTGATTTGTTATTAATAATCTTTATTTGTTTCCTATTTAAAACTAATTAGTTACGCTTTATAAAAATGATTTTTTGGATTTAAAATTTTTTATAAGGGAAGTTCTATTTTGACCCGATCAAAATGACCCCTCCTAGAATTTCGGGCCACAATTATGTTAACGCCGGCCGGATTTTTATATTAAATGAGGGTTATTTTGACCGGGTCAAAATAGAATTTCCCTTTTTATAAATATTCTACGTATTCGAAAGTTGTCCTAAAAAATTTTTACATGTAAATGTATATTTTATATATAAAGAACTTCTCGATTAGAATGTTTACTAATAAAAATTTTTTTTAGAACCAAGAAAAATCATTTTTTAAAAAGCGTAACTAATCATTCCGGTAATTTATTGTAGGAGTGTGTATGAATACGTGCGTACCTTTGTTCATAATTTTTGTAGTGATAAATATTTGATCACGCGGGATCCCACTATGAAGGTAAAGTTGATACGTAAAAGTTGTAAAGATTATATAATATAAAAACCTTTTTTTAAAAAATATTTACCTTCTTACAATACCAATTCCAATATCCTCTTCGTTTTCATATAGAGTTGCAGTATCAATGTTTCTGTATCCGGCCTATACAAATGTAAATTAAAAAATTTTAAAAATTATAGTAAAACTATTAGAAGTAAAAATAAGAATCTTACCTCCAGGGCCCATAAGGCGATATCTTGAGCAGTTTTGCCTTTGGGTGTGCTATGACCATCACCCATTCCGCCCATCCCTATCGCTTAAGAATAAAAAATATTATTAATTTTAATCAGTATAATTGTTTAGAAAAAGAGTTGAAATAAACAAACCTAGCAATGGGATCTTATGCCCATCATTCATTATTGCAGTCGAAGACAATGATAGTTTCGAATTCATTATAACGATCAGCTCGAAGTTGTTTTAATCTGATGAAATACTTTGAAAAAAAAAAAAATACATGTAAGGACGATTTTAACCATATAAATCTAACTAAATGATTCTACATATACAGTATATAGTACGCCGAAATTGTAAATTACAATTATTTACATGATCGTTTTACATTATAATCACGTCAAGGAAATCAAGTATTTTTTACTTTTAAAGTTAACGAAAAAGTAAGTATAATATAAAAATATGGAAATTTCGCAGAATTTCTTATGAGGATTCTGAAACCGGATTTGAAGATAACTGATCTTGATTTTGATGATGGTATAAGTTGTAGTGACAAAGTCATCCTACGTTCAATCTCAGCTCGACTCCGCTGGTATTTGGATTCTCGGCTTTCGATCTTTTTTCCCTTGTCTGTTTGACCTGGTTATGTGCCAACACTGCATATACGTGCATATATATTTAGGTTTTTTGTGCATCATATGAGTACATATGTACGTACGTACGTACGTACGTACATACTAGAGTTGGTGAAACTAATCTTCAATGGTGCACCGAAACTGGTGCACCGATAGTGAACTAGAGTTATAGATAAAACTAATCTTTAATGGTGCATCATCTGGTGTACCAGTTTGCTGGTGAAATTAATTAGTTTCACCAACAACTCTAGTACATATATCTGTTCTGTGTTAATTATTTTCATGTAGATATTAGGCAGAGACACTTTACCTAAAGAAATTATTGGTCCATTTGAATTTGGTGAATTTAGAGAAATTGAAAAGAGTTTATAAAATATCAAAAAAAAAAAAAAGAAAAAAAAGATATAAATGAATTAAAAGTTGAAGAATATCAAAAAGGTTTAGATAGTAATGAAATGTTAGAAGAAGGAAAAGCATTACTTGAAATTTTTAGAAAAAATAAAAACAAGATTCCTTATTGCAAAAGTTATAAAACAATAACTAGAATTTATAATGATTTATAAAAAAAAAATAAAAAGAAAAAGATAGACAATTTTGGTGGTCTATTACTTTTTATCTTTACAGTTTAGGAGGAAGTGAAAAATTAGAACTTGTTCAAGTATTATTCGAAGATGAATTACCGTACGGCGCTGACTATAGTATCCCTCTGCTATAATACCCCTAATGAAAAAGACCCGGGTACAATTCATGGGTGCATGATTCAGAAGATTGAATAAGACCCGGGTATTATTCTAGTTAGATATATATAATATTTATATTTGAATCCTTATTAA